CGCAGGAGTCGGGAGCGGGAGTCGGAAGAGCCACGCGCTTCTTCATGCGCACGGGCAGCACGCAGACACCTCAATGCACGTGCTAATGTTTCTGCAGCCGCGGCAGCACCACCACAGTCGATGTCCCTGCGAACTTTATGGGCGGCACTATGCATGCATTCTTTGATATCCTGGAGTCGTTCATTGGGGTCCGTGGAGAGGTAGACGGAGGAGAGGGGGGCGCCCATATGTGCGTAAAACCGCGGGTGCCTTGCAATCCAAGGTGGGATGGTAGGAGGACGCTGGATGGGGCCGCAAGCTTGAAGAAGAAGGAAGAGAGGGGCGTGGTCCGACGGGGCCTGGAGGTCGGCGGGGGACCAGACAGTAGAGCTGAGGGGTTGGAGATCTAGAAGATCCTCGGTGGGTAGTGAGGTGTAGACCCGATCTAACCTGGCCAGGCTGAAAGCGTCCTCCGTTTTAACCCGATAAGTAAAACAAGAAGGGGTAGCTGCCAGAAGTTCAAGAACAAATCCGTGGAATCCCATGGCCGTCCTGGGGGAGATATACCGCTCAGACGAATCTAGTAGTGAGTAGCGTCCCTCGCCCACTTCGTGGAAATTGAAATCCCCCATCACAAACGCAGCACAGGCGGCGGCAGACCAGAGCCGCCGTCGTATTCTTTGAAACAGCCCGCGCAGCTCGTGGAACGGCATGCCAGGCGTGAAATGGCAGTTCACAATCTGCATAGCACATTGGTCGCCCCAGAGCCCAAGCAAAGAGACACGACCGGGCACAACCACTTCGAAAGACGTCATTTTGAATTCGGCGACCAGCGCTTTCGAAACACTGGTGGTGATGCCGCCCGAACCAGGCTCATCACAGAAACTGCCGTCGTGATCGTAATGTCGGATGTCCCTCGCAAATGCAGTGAGGCCACCTTCAGTCCCATGGGTTTCCTGCAGACAAACCACATCATATTGCAGCATCAGGTGAGCAACCTTCCGACATGCGCCGCCCTGGAATTGGTGATTACCTTGGATGTGACCGAACACTGCATGGGCATTCCATGTGACCATTGAGAGACTCTTATGAGGGATGCACGGCAAGCAGCCCACACTGCTGTCGGAGAAGGCGAAGGAAGCCACGGAGGAGTCGGAGCTGGAGTCGGAGCTGGGGTCGGAGGAGGAAGAGGAAGAGGGGGGCTGCAGGCGGGAAAACTGTTGCACAGCACTCCTGATTTTTTTTGACTGCTGCGGTGCCTCTCAGTCGAAGTCCAACCGGGAGCTCCTCTCAATGATCGGGTCGATCTCGTCTTTAGTAATGCCCCACAACGCCAGCTCCTCATAGTTGGGCTCGAAGGTGTAGGGCGGTGATCCATCTCGCATACCAGCAGTCGCTTTGACCAATGACCATACATCGTCATCGTTATTCAGCCCCATAACCCCTCGAAAGCCGTCGATGCCCGAAATCGTCTTGTCGTTCCAGTGTTGGTTCCACTGGAGGAGAGCACGCACAGGCTCCCAGAGACCATGGAAGCACGTTTTCATATCCCGCACTAGTTGAGGAAGATCTGCTCGGACTCGCACAGAATGAGCTTGATTGTTGCGCGGATCCTGCCATTGAAGCCCGACATGATGTGCTTCTCGTTGAAAGTTTCGAGCGGCATCTGGAGTGTCGAAGGTGATCTGATACGACTGAGCAACTCCATGAATCTTAACCTCAACTCCAGAATTGAAATACTGCGGGAAATTTGCTTTGATACTCTGGAAATGTGTTTCTCTCTCGCGAGCAATCGTCGGACGTGGGAGCGTACCAATAAATTTGGCACACGGATTGCTACCCTCAACCTGATCAACTCCACGTCGCCTCTTGCCGTCATTCACCGAATGCCTCGTGGCGAATGAAACCGTCGACCCCGTTGACGCGGATGCTGATGAAGGTGGTGGACGGGTGCGCAGCTCGTCTATGGCTCTGTCCTGTTGAACTTGACGCTGCTTCATTTCCATGATCTGTTCAGCCAGACCAACCATCGTCTTCTGTGTTACCTGGACACTGTTGTTGAGCGTCTGCACAGTCTGATCGACCATCCCCAACCGACCTTCCAGTTGAGTCATGATGGATGCCGTGGCAGCAGCCATGGACGCTTGGATGACCTGATTCAGCTCCTCTGCAGCAGACCCCATGCCGAGAGGATGGCTGTGAGGGATGAAACCTCAGTGCGGTATTTGGTGGTGTGGCCACCAGGGAAAAGAGTGTCCGCTTGGCTACGACAGCCAAGAATGCCCCAAGGATGAGGCTGCCCGCCCGCACGAAACCTGATCTCACTTGAGCCAAAGTGGCAACGGAGGAGGAGAAGGAGGAGGAGAGAGGGGGGGAAAGAGGAGGAGGAAAAGGAGGAGGAGGAGGAGAGAGGGGGGGGGAAGGAGGAGGAGGTGGAAGAGGAGGAAGCAACACACAGGGCGCCCGCGAAACGACCACCTGCGGCAACCCGGCGGGGACCTCCTGAGACCCAGCCAACGCACGGGGCGCCCGCGTGGCGCCCCCCCGGCGAGACACGGAAAGTCCATCCTGCCACGAAATCGGGGGATCGTGGCGTGGCGTTAACGAGCTTAACGTGCGCGATTGGCAACTCTGATACACGAATCACACAAACATACCAAGAAAGCGGCGACGGAGTGGACTATGGGCGCGTGTTGTCGGATTGGGGTCCCCGCTTGAACGGAAACCCCCCTCTGGGGTCCGACAGCCCGAACGCATACCCATAGCCAGTCCTCCTCCCTCGGACCCCTTTTTATGGGTATATCCCCCAGGATTATCGACGCCCCTTTTCGTATTGCGAATTACATGTGGTTGTGCCACATCGTCCATTCAAAATACGAATCCATACCATCCCAGCCGAGCCGGTCTCCGGCCCAACCCGCCATCCTCAACAAGAAAAACTATACGCGCACACTCGCTCATCAAAAACAATCAGTTTTTTTTTCAGAATCCCTTGCCAAAAAGGGGACGAAATGCGCACGCGCGTATTGTTCGCGCGCGCATGCCGAAATCCTTCAAAAACCTTCGGTTTCCTAAAGACTTTAAATTGTCCCAAACAACAGACTTACAACAAAAAAGCGTTCCGCATCACAGAATTTCAGAAATATGCGCGTTTTTGCGAATTCTTAAACCAACCATCGGTTTTGTCATATCATTTCTGACAGGCTACCAAGCGGGCTTCGCGCGCGCGCATGTCGAAATCGTTCGAACGCCCTTGCGCGCGTGGCGTCGCGAGGACCCTTTGCAAACGATGGGACGAAGTGCACACGCGCGCGCCCTCGCACACGCATGCGGCAATGCGTCAAACACTTCGGGTTCCGTAGCGATTTCACATCCGAGTGTTCAAGACAATAACTAAACACATGGTTTCGCAACATCAATTTCCCCAGAAAACTTGCGCTCGCGTCCTTGCGAATTCTTGCGAACACCATGGGTTTCTCAACATGCGCATGGAATTCTGCCAAGCGGGCCTCTGACGCAACATGCCGACATCATTCGTACGTCCCTGCGCGCGCGCTGGGGGGGAGGGGGGCACGATCCGTGTCAAATAATACCACGCGGGCCACTCTCGCGCACCGGCCGCGCGCGCATGTCGAACTCTTTCCAAAACCTTCATCACCGATGCGAGGACGCCGTCATCGTCGTCGGCATGATCAGCATCGGCGCCCGCACTGGCCGCGCCGTCGTCGTTGTCAACATCGTCAGCAACATCATTATTATCATCATCGTGTCTACCGTTGTCGACGTTGCCCTTGGTGCCGCGCCCGCCCAAGTCGCCGACCCGCAGTGAAATGCCAGCTGGGATGTGCCCAGCGGTCAGCGCCACCGCGGCCGCGCCGGCCGCGCCAATCTAGCTGGCCGCTGCGAGTGCGTGCTTGGGTTGGCGCGGCCGCAGAAATGGACAAACTAACGCCAAGCACTCATCGCAATCGCCACCGCATGGGTTTTGCAAACCAAGTTGCGGATGGGTGGGCGGGATGCTTGCAAAAGCGTGTGATGTGTCAACTCGTTTGGTAAAACCAACTGCGCCACATAGATTGCAGTTCGTACATTGCACCTTATGTACTGAACGAAAAACATTGCACCACACAAGTTGCACCACATCGACTGCACTACGTAATCGACACAACATAAATTGCACCACGTCTACCCCGCAATATATATATATATATATATATATATATATATACGGCACAACATGTATTGCACCACGCAGGTTGCACCATATAGATTGCACCACGTAGTTTGCACAACATGGGTTGCACAACATAGGTTGTACAGCATTTTCGTACAAATGCACTGTTTGGGGTCCACGCTGCGTAACATTGGAATCCCAACCTGCTGGAATCTCGACGAAGTAAGTGTTAGCCCCTGCAGGTGCGATTCCTACAAAGCTGGATGGGGATCAGAATTAAGTCGGGCCTGTCCTCCTACAGGGGGATTCTGGACGAAATGGAAATAATCAAAACATGCCCCCAAATGGTCAAACAATATGCAACAGATCGTCCCCAGACTATTTTTTTATATTTTCTATTATTCCCCCTGTAGAGAAACAGGCCCGACTTAAGATCAGAATATGATAGATATGCCTGCAGCCAAATCGCGCCAACTGGCGGTCGCAAACCTCGGATGACACTTTTAGATTCCGCGGGCGTCAAATGGTCCGAGTCAGTCAGACGCCGGTCAGACAAAGAGGTGGGGTGCACCGGGAAGGAATTGAAGCAATGGCGGAAGGGAACAAAGCGCGCCAACGGAATACGCATGTTGTCACTCACCACGACAGCCCGCAGCCCTTTGACCTCCAACCCCTTCTTGTCTCCTTTCCTCCGCCCCTTTCCTCCCTCACCCGTCTTCCCCCCCCCTCCTCTTCCACCCCCACCAACATTCCCATCCCCCTTTCCCCCCGGCCACCCCCCGCTCTCTCCCCCCCTCGTCGTCGTCGTCGTCGCCGCCCTCCCTGTAAGAGGCGGCCCCCGGCAGACCATGGGGCCGAACGTGCGCATGACGGTCACCAAGACTGCAATCCACATGCCCCCAGAACCATCGTGGCCGAGCGGGCTCGCCCAGACGCCACCTCGTCGGGAGGATCCACAGGGCAGAGGAGGCAAAAACGGGAGGTGAGGAAGGGGGGCGGAGGAGGAGGAGGAGGAGGAGAAGGAGGAGGAGAAGGGGGAGGAGGAGGAGGAGGAGGAGGAGGAGGAGGAGGAGGAGGAGGAGGAGGAGGAGGAGGAGAGGAGCAGGAGCAGGAGCAGGAAGAGGAGGAGGAGGACGAGGAGGAGGAAAAACAAAAAAGGAAGAAAGACCAGAGATGGCTGGAATCTGGGAGGGGCTTTTACTAACTATACTGTGGGGGGGGGCACGGAAGGAGAAGAGCAGCGGCGCTAGTCCGTGGCGGGATCAAGATTCGCAGTCACGCTGCTGCTGCTGCTGCTTCAGAGTACATGGCGGACCTGGCTGCTACACAATTGCAGTTTGGTGGGCGCCCCCCACCTCGCCAAGACGGGAACAATGACAGTGGCCATGGTGCCGCCATCGGGGTCTGCACTGCCGGCATTGACAACTGCAACACCCTAGTGGCCGCCAGGAAAGGAACGGACGAGGAGGAAGGGAACGGACAGAGGGCGGAGGCACAGGACAGTGGACCAAAAAAGCACCGGGCCAGGGGCCTTGCCTGGATGCAGGCCGCGCCCGCGCCGCGGCGGCGGCCTCAGCAGAAAGCGAGCCTCGGGACGAGAGCGAGACGGCCCCGCGGCCCCTGCCGCGGCGCGCCGCCCCCCCAGACGCGCCCGCGCGTGCGCGTGGACATCCGCCACCGCGCCAGCGCGTGCACGCGCAAGCGCGGCATCGGGGACGCATTGGCCCGGGTCAACCCAAACCCGGGGCAGTCGGGCGTTGCAGGATCCTGCAAGATCCTGCAGGATCCTACAGGATCCTGCGCCCAAGCCCGGGCCAATGCAGCCCTGGCGCGGAAGGACCCTGCAAGATCCGGCGCTCTGACTGACCCCCGTTTGCACTGACCCCGACTCTTGGGCCCCGATGGCAGAATGCCGACTTCGCCCCGACATGCTCTCTGAAACTGTGATGCAGTCCCGTCGTCGCGCCCGAAGGCGGGCGCGCGCCGCCCCCTTCCACTCGAACTTTCCTGGGCTGCCCCGACTTCACCCTTCGCCAGCTTCCACGGGCCCCCTCCCAAGGCAGCCCAGAAGGTGAAGAAAGGCCGACGCCGCAGCCACGATGTCCCATTACTCTCAGGTCGGGCATGTCCTCCAACAGGCTGATTTTTGTTTTGAAGAAACAAAAAGAAAATAATCAAACAGATGATCAAACCTGGTAAACAAAAAAACGACAAATCACCACCCTACTATTTTAACCATTGTTGAATACTCCTCCTGTAGAGTGACATGCCCGACTCAGCATTACTCCCCCAGGGATCACCCGACAGCCCCCTGGAAGGCCCCAAGAGACGCCACAGAAGCGCCAAGAGACTACCAGTGCACCAAGGAGAGGGCCAAGAGGCCTCGCAGGCATGCACGCCAGTCAAACCGCCAGACGCAAACGGGGTCGGGGCAATCCAAGAGTCCCAGAATGGCCCACGAGCGCCCTCGAAAACCCCTAGCGCGGGCGCGAAATACCTCCCGCGCGGCCGGCTTAGCTTGAAGCGACACCGGAAACCGCCCCCAGACAGGCCGAGAGGGCCACACGACAGCCCCGCGGTGGGCCCGCGATGAACAGGAGGTACGCGAGGTGTCGAGTGACTCTGGCTCCTGAGCGCCGCCGCGCAAAATGCAGCGCTGGCACGGCAACGGAACTTGCCGCGGCCAGCTGGGCATGACTAATGGCATGGAAGATATTCATGGCTCCGGTCAGGCCCCCAGGAGCCGAATATCCACATCGGAAGCGGCCGCCGCGCCCCCAGGCAACTGACACTGGGGGGGCCGCCGAGGCGAGAGCGGACGGGAAGAGCGAGAGAACCAGCAGAGCTGGGCTGCACATGCTCTTGGCACGCGTTGTCTGGCAAATGTCAGCAATCACGGTGCAGACGTTCTCTTGCAGCTCATCGTGGCCAGGGCCGTTGGGCCAGAAGTATAGCTTCTTGACCGTGTCATCGAACGCCTTGCACAACCAGCAGCAAGACACAGCGGCATGCACAGAGTATGTGGAAGAAGGGCCCAGCTCCGCCGGCGGCGACAACTTCTCGAAACGAGTCGTGGATGACTCTTTCCGCGACTGTGGACATCTGTGGACAAGTGAGGGAGGACGAAGAGGAGGCGGAGGATCAGAGTAAATCCAGCAAGCCCGTTTGGTGTTGCAGTAAACCTTTCTGCCCAGCGCCCCCTCTTCATATATATATATATATAATATGGATACAATGTTTTCGTTTCATTGCAGCGATCACCCATTGAAAAGGTTCAGAGCTATTGGACTTCCATGGTGAGAGCCCTATGCTAAAATGATCATCAATGCTCACATTGATATTCAACAGCACAGAAATGCACAGCACGATGAATTTGAGAGGGGATCACCCTCCAGCCACGTGGATTGCAAACGCTTCAATTAAATATGCACGGTACCATAACGATGTAACAACGTCAACGTTGAATAGATGTCACCATTTATCTGGGCAATTGCTGGAACATCCTAGCGTTACGAACCTATGATATGACATGGCAGCGTACCAAGCAGCAACTCGATTTTGAAAAGGGGCCGCGTCCATTATTGTAAATACCTGTTGATGACCTTAAAGATTCGGAAGACTTGAACGCAGGCAGCTTTGCGCGAGAGGCAGGGGCAAACCTGAACCTGTGCAACTGGAGGAAGAGGAGGAGCATTCGAGTAGGGGATTATTTATCCTAAAGCTGCTTGCTCGACGAACCTACAGCAAGCGACGTCATATGTATCATGGATTCGACTGGATTAAAAATTTGGGCGTACATCAAGTCTGTAGTCGATCCCCTATACTCGAAGGATGAGGAGGGAAGGGGGACGAGGAGGCACAGCGGCATTGGCAGGAATGGGAAGAGCGGGAGGAGCAGGCAGACCAGGAGAGGGCGGAGGAGGGAAAAGGAGCTGGAGACAGCGATGAGGACCGACTCGCATCCAGAAATGTGGCCCGCCCTGGGGCGAGCGCGCCGCTCTGAACGACGGGAGAAGAGCGCCGATCCTGAAAGCCAACGCTGCGGCGGGAGCGCCGGCTTGAAGGGACTGGAGACGTTCGGATTGACAAGAGCACATAAAAACAAACCACAACTCTGGCACATCCTGTGTGCAACAAAAGTTCCCGAAAGGTGGCGCGCTGCTCTCGGCACGTCTTCAGGAGAGAGTGGGAGATCGTGGAGTGGTACTCATGTGAGGTAACTTCCGAGGAGCAACACGAGGAAGCAGAGGAAGAGAAGCGTGATGCGGGCCACCCCACATGGCCGCGAACACCAGCACCGGGAAGGGTGCGCAGTACACGAAGAAGGGCCACAGCAGCGCTCGTAGGGCCAAATCCTTCTGGATCACAGCCGCGTGGGTGGCGATGAGGCCTACCGGGGACTCGCAGACGTATCCCGCGCAAATATCCTAAATAGGAATAGGAAGGAATGAATACAACTTGCGCCCGCTGACGGAATGCGTGCACACGCCCAGAATAGCAAGTGCCGACACCAACTGCCGAGACACCCACGCTTACTCGTTTGCCAATTAGTCACGCTCTGTTCTTACAACGCGAACCGATGCGCACAGAATGTCATCGACCCGATGCTCGCTTGACAAATGGCACAATCCAAGACGCATGAGGCTGGACGCATCTATTTCGACCCAGCTGGGTGCACGTGCACCGAGGCACAGCCGCGCATGGAAACGTGCTCCCTTGCCCGCGACAAGTTCCACAACCGTGCCAGTGCAGCACCCAGCGCGGCGCCCATACGAGAACTGCCTAGAGAACTGTCATGGGAAAATTCTGGGCTACAAGAAACCGAACGATATGACTCACCCTTCCCTTGGCCCGGCATGCGGTAATACGTGATATCCGTCTCGCTGGGGTCCCACGGGACGTCACGCGTAAGCCCTCTCGCCAGGAGGCCGTAACATGTGGCACCTGGACTCACAGGTCGGATGGCATCGCAGCACGTCGCGATTGCTCGTCTGGGGCTCGGCGGGCAGTGCAGCATGCATGTGATCCAGGGCTTGTGGACTCTCTCGTGCCTGAAAGAATTGCGCTGGCCATCTGCGAAGGTCTTGCGGCCATCGGGGGGGGAATCTTAAGATAGCGTTGCATAGATTGCACCACACAGCTGTTACACCCCATACATTCAGCCACACATAATTTCTGGTTTTTGAAAGACCGCCACCGCGCTTGCAGCGGCTGGTATGTGTGTGTGTGTGTGTGCGTGTGCGCGTGTGCGCGTGTGCGCGTGTGCGCGTGTGCGCCTGTGTGTGTGTGTGTCTGTGTGTGTGGCCCTCGTTATGTCCTTACTGTCGCTTTTTGCGAAGCAATGAAAAAGGGTCCCCCAACACATCCAGCCCAAGACGCATTCACGTACTGCTCCGAGTCTTGCGGCATTCCCAGCAGGACGTGGTCCAAAAAACAAAAGGTGGGAATAAACACCCCCCCAATGGATCTCCCCCCCCCCCCCGGGGCGAGCGCGAGGCCACCGCACCCCCCCGGCTTCCCAGACAACAAATATGACCCCCGGTGGACTCCAAGACGGCCAGCATGGCCTCCAAGTCGGACGATATGGACCTCTGCGGCCGCCACGACGGCCCCTCGTTCCCCCCCCCCCCCCTGTACCCAAACTTGTGCAAGTTGTGAGAGAGGGAGATGTGTGGAGCACATGCCACTGCTGCAACTCGGAATCTTGGCCATCCGTGCAAGGCTATCGATCGTCCTCCTACGAGAACTGGGAAGGAGCTTTTGTCCCGCTGGTCTCGGGCGCTCCCCCCCAAAAGGTGGTGGAAGTTCCCCTGGGATGTGACTCTGCAGCGAGCCCAGGCCTGACCTGGTCTCCACGGGTTCCCGAACCGAGCCGAATCCACCTCCTCCCTCCTCCGTCTCCTCCTCCTCCGTCTCCTCCTCCTCCTCCTCCTCCTCCTCCTCCTCCTAACTCCTGATGGCGTGAGATATCGTCGATTGCCGCCCTCCTCCCCCTCCTCCCCCTCCTCCTCCTCCTCCTCCTCCTCCTCCTCCTCCTCCTCATGCTCATGCTCATGCTCATGCTCATGCTCATCCTCATCATCATCCTCATCCCCTCATCCTCATCATCAGCAGCAACAGCAGCATCATCATCAGCAGCAGCAGCAACAGCATCATCATCATCAGCATCATCATCATCCTCATCCTCATCCTCATCCTCATCATCAGCAGCATCATCATCATCATCTTCATCATAATCAGCATCAGCATCATCATCAGCATCATCATCATCAGCATCAGCATCATCAGCAGCAGCATCATCATCCTTCCTCCCGCCTCCTCCTGCTCCTCCTCGTCCTCCACCTTCCCCCGCCTCCTCCTCCTCCTCCTCCCGCTGGGCGGGCGAGGGGACGCCTCCGAACAGGGTGCCGTACGTGGACACGAAGACGCAGCTCTCCCCGCCGTCGGAGGGGGAGGCCTCCTCGCCAGGCGGGCAGCCCCTAGGGCAAGACGAAGCCACCCTTAGGTCGGGCATGCCCCCCTGCAGGCGGATTTTGGAGGAACAATTCTAAAGAATCAAAAAGTGTTGAAACAAGTCAAGAAAATGATATAAACATCGACTATTTCTAGAACTAGATTTGAGTATCCCCCCTGTAGAGGGGCAGGCCCGACTTAAAGCCACCCGCGCGACCCGGGTGCCAGCGCAAACTTCAACGCGCCCCCCTGCCGATTCGATCTTGGGTGCTGCAGGGGAAGCCCATAGGATACCGTTCTGACGCCAGAGGGGAGGAGCGAGGGGCACAGTTTGCTATCCATGGCACTGGAAGCGGGCCCCGTCGCCCAAGTGCGTCCGTGCACTCTTCCTTTTCTCCGAGCACCACCGGCGAGCCTCAGCGCAAGACGAAGCCAGGACGAGGATCAAATCGGGCGAGAAGAAAGCGAGAATCTCTGAGATCCGGCGGCTCTGGAGGATGTCTCGGGCGCCGCGGCCTCCTCCGAGCGTCCCGGAAGGCTCTGCGAGCGTTCCGGCACGCTCTGGAACGGAGTCATCCTCGTCCTGGCCCTGTCCGAAAAGTTGCCTCTCAGGCGTCGCGCTACCACGCGGCCCGCGGAGGAAAAGACGCCTGGGGCCTCTCTGGCCACGACGAGCTCTGGCCGCGAATGAGTCGCCCCGTCCGACAGCGGGCGCCGACGCGCAGGGAGAGCCGGCGCGCCAGGGACGCGCGAAGTCGCCCCCCCCAGCGGCGGCAGCGGCAGAGGCCACTGGGCACACGCCACGCGGCAGGTGCCCCGAGGTCGCGCAGACCACGTCTGGCGAGCGGGGGGGGGCACGAGCTCGGCGGCGAGCAAGGCCTTCTCAGAAGGCTCGGAAAACCCCCGGCCTTCTGAGAAGTCTTCTGGGCCTTCCCCGGAGGCACAGGGAGCTCCTCAGAAGGCGCGAGGGCTCCCGAGGAGTCCCGCCGCCTTCTGTGCAGGCCCTTGCCCCCCCTCGCTGGCCTCCGAGGAGCTCCCGCAGACGGGACGCAGCAGGACACGCTGACACTCTGCGTCCTCCGCTCGGGCGTGCGCCAGACCAGCTCACACAGCACGGCCATCTGCAGCAGATCGTCACCCCAGCGGCACGGCCAGAGAGCGCCCGCCGCCGGGCACATACGAGAAGCTTTCTCTCAGCGAGGGCGTCGCCCCTTGGGGGGAGACGCGCGAATAGCAGAAGCACAGTCAACCCGCATCGTGAGGATGGGGATCCTTCCCAAGGGTACCCCTTTGCATCCTTGCCTCCTCGGTCCACCCTTGGCCACTTTCGCTGGCCGCGCCCCGCCCGAAAGGCTTCGGAGCGGCCTTCCAAGGCTCTTGCATCCTTTTCGTGCATCCTTCTGTTGCGGGTCGACTGTATGTCTGGGTGAAGCCGACGCAGACAACGACCCCCTGAGCCAGAAACGGTGAACCGAGGGATCCGGAGCAAGCGCAGGGGCAGGAGTCGGCGGCGCGCCGAGGGGGGAAGCAAGGGAGGGGCGGGCCTCACATCGGAAGGCTCGGAAGGTTTCTGGGCTTCTGAGGGGCGGTCAGAGCCCTCTCCGAAGACACCGACGCCTTCCCAGAAGGCCAGAGGGCTTCCGAGAAGCCCCGCCGCCCGCCGCCCTCCGAGAGGTCCGCCCCCCTCTCGCCACTCCCCCCTCGGCGCGCCGCCGAAGGTCACGGGCGCGCAAACATGGATTTGCGATCCACGGATTTGGCGCGCGGTCCCCAGAAGGCGGCCGGTGCCGCCTCGCTCGGCGGCGGCAATCCGCGATTGCCCTCGGAAACGGGACCCAGCGCTGATCCACGCCCCTTTGATCCATGTTTGCGATCGCCTGGGAAGGGGGAACAGACGGAGGGGCCCGCTGGAAAGCCTCCCCCCTCGGAGAAGCTGCCGAGATGCTGCTTCGACTGCGGCAGCCTTCTGAACACTTTTTTTGCTTGGGGGGGCGGAGCGGCCGGAGAGCCGGGCACGGCGGGGGGGGCGGCCTGGCACGAGTAGGGCGAGATGGAGTCCAGGACGCCCCAGTTCGCGAACCTGCTGGCACCCCATCTTCCTCTCTTTCTCCCACGAGGTCTCTCGCTTTTTCAACATGTGCATATGTGTATATACATATACACACCCTCGTCTCTCTTCCCACCTTCCCACCCCCTTCCTCTCTGAGCGACAAGCTTTCAGACCTCCACTGCTTTGGCGCCGTCCATCCATCCATCCCACCCTCTTCTTCCCCAGCTTCCCGATTTGGCTCCCTCCCATCCAAACCTCTGCCCCCTCCTTCCTTCTTCCCCCCTAGGGATACGAACAGGAATGGCGGGAGGAGGGAAGGGAGGGAGGTGGGAGGAAGAGAGAGAGGAGACAGATGAAGGTGGGAGGAAGGGAGAGATGAGGGAAGGGAAGGAGGTGGGAGGAAGAGAGATAGGAGACAAATCCCTGCTCGTCGCCTTCCCCGCAAACCCTACTCGTCCCCTTCCCCTCCCCCTTGCCTCCCTACTCGTCCACCTTACTTCCCATCAGTCCCTTTCAAAATCGACTCCCAAACGTCCCATGGGGCACGCCCGGACAAAAGATCTTGGCGGATTTAGCCGTGGCAGCGACGACACCTCAGGAGACCAAACAAAATGCAAGACCTTCTTCCCCTTCCCTCCCCCCTCTCGCCCCCTTCTCACCTCCCTCCCCCGTCCCTCCCTCCCCCCTCCCTCCCTCGTCCCTCTCCCATTCCGCCGCACCTCGGCGCGCAGCGGAGGAGCGGCCAGAGCAGCAGAAGCAGCAGCTACCCCTACTCCTCCTCCTCCTCCTCCTCCTCCTCCTCCTCCTCCTCCTCCTCCTCCTCACCACCACCACCATCAGCAGCAGCAGCAGCATCATTACCATCCTCCTCCTCCTCCTCCTCCTCCTCCTCCTCATCCTCATCAGCATCAGCATCATCATCACCATCACCACAACCACCATCACCAACATCATCAGCATCACCACCATCATCAGCATCCTCCTCGTCCTCGCCATCATCACCAGCAGCATCACCACCATCATCATCACCAGCATCACCACCATCATCATCATCATCATCATCATCATCATCATCATCATCATCATCATCATCATCATCATCATCATCAACATTAGCATCACCATCATCATCATCATCATCATCATCATCATCATCATCATCATCATCATCATCGTCATCGTCATCGTCATCGTCATCATCGTCATCATCATCGTCGTCATCGTCATCGTCATCGCCATCGCCATCATCATCATCATCATCATCAATCATCAATCATCAATCATCAATCATCAATCATCATCATCATCATCATCATCATCATCATCATCATCATCATCATCATCATCATTTGCATCATCATCTTGATCATCAGGATCATCATCAGCAGCATCACCATCATCATCAGCAGCAGCAATATCATCATCATCGTCAGCTTCATCAGCATCACCCTCATCAGCATCACCATCAGCATCATCATCAGCATCCTCATCCTCATCCTCATCTTCATCCTCGTCCTCCTCATCCTCCTCATTATCGTCCTCATCCTCATCCTCATCATCATCGTTGTCGTCATCGTCCTCCTCCTCATGGTCATCGTCGTCGCCGTCATCGTCGTCATCGTCATCGTCATCGGCATTGTCATCGTCATCGTCACCACAATCACCATCACCATCACCATCACCATCATCATCACTATCATCATCGTCTGCACCATCATTATCATGGTCCTCTTTCGCATCATCATCAGCAGCATCAGTATCAGCATCATCATCTCAACACCATCATCATAATCATCGGCAACCTCATCGTCATCATCACCATCATCATCATAAACAACACCAGGGAATAATATCGTCACCACCACCACCACCATTATTATCGTCCCCATCCTCATCGTCATCATCATCATCACCCTCATCCTCATCCTCATCCTGCGAACGACGAAATCAATATATGTGACGCCCGTTCACGACAAAGAAGTACCGTGACGACCCCCCTGCTCCCTCTGCTCCCCCTTCCTCTTCCGCGTCCCCCTCACCCCTATGAGTAGATTTCGAGCTAGTTCTCAGGCCTCAAGCAGCCGTTCGGGGCGATTCGGACATTCCAGAAATGCGCTCGGTGAGGCGTAACTGCGGGAAAAAACATCAGGGAGCAAAATTGCCACACACTCTAAAAACCTACAATATCGTCGAGACGGTTTGGGCCTGTTTGTTCTGACCGAGTCGCAACTAGAAAGACGTACAACAATGCCTCTCAGTTCCTCTCTCTCTCTCATATATATATATATATATACACAAGCCGGAACCGTGATCAAATCACATTGAAAAACAAGTGGCGCGTGCGCCATGGCTCTTGCACAAAAAGGTAGGGGAGGAGGAGGTGTAGGAGGGGGGAAGAGGGGGAAGGCACCGCCCCTCGGGGCCCAACAGCGGGGCCCAAATCCCAGGTGGGGAGGGGAGGGGAGGTGGTGTGCGTCGCGACGCGGAGTAAAGTGCTCGGATGGGTGTGCTACGCGGAATAAAACGTTCGTGGCGGAGGGGGCAATGTGCGGGGCTCCCAGTGGGGCGCCGAGGGCGCGGGGTGCTCGGGGCGGAAGGGCCGCGCAGCGGGGGCCTCACTGTGGCGCCAGGGGCGCGGGGGGGCCCGGGGCAGAGGGCCGCGGAGCGGGGCCTGCCCAGAATTTGGAAGTTGTAGCACTCTGTACATGTGCCCGGTGTGCTTCCAACCAAAGCCTTCTGTAGAAATTATGTGATGTCGTCACTCCACCGTTTTCGTTGCCCGACTTGTCGGCGTCGTGCTGCCCGGGGGTCATGGATAACGGGTTCCCATGCCGCCGCCAATCGGGCCCAATTGTGGTGCGGTTGTGTAGCAATTCGCCCAGCCCATCTCCATTTACGCTGGTGAAATATTGTAACCCATTCCTCCACATAAGCGCGCGTCGCAAGGTCTGAGGCGGCGTGGGTAGCCCTGCGAATGAAATTGTCCCAGGGTTCAAGGTCGGATTCGTCGTCGACGTCGTCAAAATCTAGGTGCTGTCTAATGCTGGACTTCCTGTCGTTACTTGTGCTGTCGTCATGCTCTTCAGTGTCGGGGTTGGTTGTATTTTCGTCGGTGCTGGTGTGAGATTGTCTCTGTCGGCGCCTCGAGGTATTGACAATGAGTCGTAACATGCGTCGTTGGGTGCGTCGGAGTGTCAGGAGCATGTCTTTGGTGAGAGTCCACGGTGCGCAGCCATACGTGCGTGACCGTTGGAGTCACCGTCCCGCTGAAGAGCCTGAGTCTGCTGCGAAGGGAGTACTGGCTATTTGTGAGCTCGTTCCGGAACTGGCTGAATGTGCGCAACCCCATTGCAATTATGTTGGTGGGCTCGGTGTGGTGGAAGTCGTGCAACGTCAGCTTGCGACCCAGGGTACTTGGTGCTCTCCTCGGCGCTGAGGATTTCAACCTTGTCGTCGTCGTCGATTTCGAGGAGGAGGAGGAGGAGGAGGAGACGGAGTAGGAGAAGGAGGCGAAAGGAGGGGGGGAGGGGGAGAAGGAGGGAGGGGGAGGGAGGAGGAAGGAGGAGGGAGGAGGAGGAGGTGGGGGAAGAGGAGGAGGAGGCGGAGGAGGAGGAGGAGGAGGGGGAAGAGGGAGGAAGTAGGAGGAGAGGAGGAGGAGGAGGAGGAGGGGAGGAGGAGTGTCATGAGTGTCATGATCGCCACAGTCGCAGTGGCTAGGAGGAGGAGGAGGAGGAGGAGGAGGGTGAAGAGGAGGGGGAAGAGGAGGGGGAGAGGAGAGGAGGAGGAGGAGGAGGAGGAGGGGAGGAGGATGAGGAGGTGGAGGTGGAAGGTGGAGGTGGAGGAGGAGGGGAGGAGGAGGAGGAGAAGAAGGAGAGGCGAGGAGGAGGAGGAGGGGAAGGGAAGGGGGAGGGCGGGGAGGGGGAGGGGAGGGGGAGGGGGAGGGAGGGGGAGGAGGAGGGGAGGGGGGGGGGAGGGGGAGGGGGGAGGAGGAGGAGGAGGAGAGGAGGAGGAGGAGGAGGAGGAGGAGGAGGAGGAGGAGGAGGCCGCCGAGTTCTGGCTCGAAGGAGGCTCTTCCCTCCCAAGGAACTGCGACCAAAACACCACGCCCGCCAGCAGGGCGGTGGCCCCGGCCTCGCGAGAGCGCCGAGTGGGGGTGGGCCCAAAGGCGGGCGGGGATGGGGCAGAGAGGCAGGAAGAGGAGGAGAAGGTGGAGGAGAAGGTGGAGGAGAAGGTGGAGGAGGAGGAGGAGGAGGAGGAGGAGGAGCGGGGGTGGGGAGGTGCTCTCTCTCTCTCTCTGGTGTTATCCTCCCTCCCCCCTCCAGAACTGCACAACATGAATACTGCTCTCCTCTCTCAGTGATGACGGCCGGAAATGATTCGGCCCCCCTGCGCGTACGGCTGTTTAAAACACACAGGGTTCCCGGTAGTTGGGTTTTCGCTGGTTTTCCCCCCAAATGTTGCTCCCGCTGAAGCACTGGCCTCATTTTCGGGCTTCCGCTCGTTCCGAATCGTGCTCCCGCTGCAGCGCTGGCCTCATGTTCGGGCTTCCGCTCGTTCCGAATCGTGCTCCCGCTGCAACGCTGGCCCCATTTCCGCGCTTCCGCTCGTTCCGAATCGTGCTCCCGCTGCAGCGCTGGCGTCATTATTTCCAGTGCCATGCCACGGCATGCAATGCAATGCTACGTGGTGTTCCGCTGTTCGATGCCATGCCTTCAGCTGCAATGCTAGGATATGCAGTGCTTGATTATGCAGTGCCACGCCATGCGATGCCATGCTACGCTTTGATCTTCAACGCCAGGCTACGCCATGTTCTGTTATGTGCCGCTGTGCGATGCCATGATTTGGGTTGCAACGCTTCGTGATGCAATTCTTGACTACGCAACGCCACGCCATGCTATGACATCCTACGCTCTGCCGTGCTCACCCTCTCGGGATCATCGCCCTGCCCGACATGCGACTGTGCGAATAGAGAAGAGATCCACGCCATAGTGAGAGATGGGAGGGAGGTGTATGACGTCAGATATGACGCGAGCGCACCTAGCTTGCCCCTCCCCCCTCCCCCCTCGCCCCTCCCCCCTCCTCCCTCCTCCTCCCTCCTCCCTTCTCCTTCTCCTCCTCATCCTCCTGCTCCTCCAACTCCAACTCCAACTACAGTTCCAGCTCCCGCTCCAGCTCCAGCTCCAACTCCAGCTCCAACTCCAACCCCAACTCCAACCCCAACTCCAACTCCAATTTCTCCTCCTCCTCCTCCTCCTCCTCCTCCTCATCCTCCTCCTCCTCCTCCTCCCCCTCCTCCCCCTCCCCAAGGAGCAGGATGGAATACGAGGAGGGGGCAGCGGGAGGAGCAGTGCGGAGAGAGAAAGAGAGAGAGCGAGAGAGGGGATCGGAGGCGAGAGGAGCAGAGCGGAGAAAGAGGGACAAGACAAGATAATCGCATCGGACCTCCCAGAATCGGTTCCGAAACAAATCGTGAAGCTCGGCGCTCTGACACATCATTGGGGGCCACCAGCGCGGCCGCTATATAAGCAGGGCGCCCCCCTCGTCTTGGCGAGCAGCTTGTGTGAGGGGGGCAGGAACGAGGAAGAGGAGAGAATAATATACTGTTGCTGGGGAAGACGAGGCGGTCCTCCTCCGGTACTCCTCCTCGGGGGGGAATCCCAAGGGGGAGTCCTTTTCCTCCTCCTTCTCCTCCTCCTCCTCCTCCTCCTCCTTATCTCCGCTTCCTCCTCCTCCGCCTCCTACACAATTACTCAATATGAATACTACTCTCCCTCTTCCCCTGATGCCGGTTTGAAAGTGCTCGACCCCCCCCCCCCGCGTACTGTTTTTTTACACACAAGTTTCCCCAGAGTTGGGTTTTCGCCTGCTCTCGCTGCCGGCCTCATTTTCGGGCCCCGCTCGTTCCGAATCGTGCTCCCGCTGCAGCGCTGGCCTCATTTCTGTGCTTCCGCTCGTTCTGAAGCGTGCTCCCGCTGCAGCGCTGGCCTCATTTCCACGCTTCCGCTCGTTTCGACTCGTGTTCCCGCTGCAGCGCTGGCGTCATTTCCCGTGTCATGCCACGGCATGCAATGCAATGCTAGGTTGATGCTACGCTTTGCGGTGCTCTTCTACGCTATGCCATGCCGTGCTCTACAATGCATCGCGTACCCTTTCGGGATCATTGCCCTGCTCGACATCCGACTGTGCGAGTAGAGAGGGGATCTACGCCATGGTAAGGGATGGGAGGGATGGGTAGGATGTCAGATATGACGCGAGCGCACCTAGCTTGTCCTCCCCCCTCCTCCCCCTCCCCTCCTCCTCCTCCTCCCCTCCCCCTCCCCCCCTCCTCCTCTCCTCCTCCCTCCCTCTTCCTCCTCCTCCTCCTACTCCTCCTCCTCCTCCTCCTCCTCCTCCTCCTCCTCCTCCTCCTCCTCCTCCTCCTCCTCCCCACCCTCCTGGTCGTCGTCGATACCTTTCAGGGTCGGCGGCACCAGCCGTCAGGCCTTCACAACACTGTTTTTGAGGAAGATGAGGCCGAGGAGGGAGGAGGATTGAGGATGAGGGGGACGAGGCCAGAGGATGAGAGGCAGTACAAAAAGAGGGTGAGGCTGCTGTTGCGGCGTGCTCAGCATTGGAGGCCTGGAAATGGGCACCAACACCAACACAGGGGGCTGCCTTCATAAAGTTCTTAGCCGTGTAGCGCACGGCGGGACGCCAAGCTTCCAAAGAACAAGTTGGTCGGAGTTGCATCTGGTCTGAATGCTCTGGTTGGTCTGGCTGGTCTGGCTGGTCTGGTTGGTCTGGTTTGAGCCTGGTGCTGAGGCTTTAGTTTAGGATTCAGGCGAGAGTGGTTTAGGGGAGGTCCGGGGAAGCAACCACTACCACCACCACCGAAAAGCAGTTGCTTTTGCATTGCAATTGTTTTTTGCATCTGGTCTGGCTGGTCTGGTTGGTCTGGTTTGAGCCTCGTCTTTCAGCCTTAGCTTAGGATTTGGGCGAGAGTGGTTTGGGGGAGGTTGCAGCACGAACGTCTGGGACCACGACGACACGAAAACTGTGTTTGTTGCATTGCACTTGTTTCTGCATTGCAGTTTTTTTTGCATCTGGTCTGGCTGGTCTGGTTGGTCTGGTTTGAGCTTCGTCTTGCAGCTTTAGCTTAGGCTTCGGGCGAGAGTTGTTTAGGGAGGTTGCAGCACGAACGTCTGGGACCACGACGACACGAAAACTGTTTTTTGTTTGCATTGCAGTTGTTTCTGCATTGCAGTTTGTTTTGCATCTGGTCTGGCTGGCCTGGTGGGTCTGGTTTGAGCTTCGTCTTGCAGCTTTACCTTTGGCTTCGGGCGCGAGTGGTTTACGGGAGGTTGCAGCACGAACGTCTGGGACCACGACGACTGGGCCTGAGACACACCTACCGCTGCAAGCGCGGTGGCGGATCTCTCGGTTGCCTCTTGGGCCGTTTTGGGGGCCTCTTGGGCCGTCTTGGGGCCGTCTGAGCCCGTCTCCATAAAAAGATATACTCCGACAGGGCTGCGACCGCGACCAGGACGGCCGCGACGACGACAACCGGGAAGACGACGACCACGACGACTTCAGCTGAATCTGGCTTCCCAAAAAACTGGAACTGTCTTCATTACAACGGATACGCCGACAGGGCTGCGACCACGACCACGACGACCACGACGAGGACGATGGTGGTTGGTCTGGCTTGTCTGGTCCAGTTGGTCTGGCTGGTCTGGTGGGTCTGGCTGGTCGAACTGGTTGGTCTGATTGGTTTGTCTGGCTGGTCCCGTTCGTCTGGCTGGTCCGGTCTGGTTGATTGGTCTGGCTGGCCAGGTTGGTCTGGCTGGCCTGGTCTGGTCTGGCTGGACTGGTTCGTCTGGCTGGTCTAATCTGGTCTGGTCTGCCTGGCCGGGTCAGCTGGTCAGGCTGGTCTGATCTGGTTGGTTGGTCTGGTTGGTCTGGCTGGTCTGGTTGGTCTGGCTGGTCTGGTTGGTTTCGCTGGTCTTGCGCCCCTCTTGGTGCCGTCTTGGAGCCCTCTTGGGCCGCCTTGGGGGCCTCTTGGGCCGTCTTGGGGCCGTCTGAGCCCGTCTCCATAAAAAATTATACTCCGACAGGGCTGCGACCGCGACCAGGACCGGCCGCGACGACGACGACGACGACAACCGGGAAGACGACGACCACGACGACTTCAGCTGAATCTTGCTTCCCAAAGATATGAACCTGTCGTCATAAAAATGGATACGCCGACAGGGCTGCGACCACGACCACGACGACCACGAACAGGACGATGGTGGTTGGTCTGCCTTGTCTGGTTGGTCTGGCTGGTTGATCTGGTTGGTCTGATTGGTTGGTCTGGCTTGTCCGATTCGTCTGGCTGGTCCGGTCTGGTTGATTGGTCTGGCTGGTCAGGTTGGTCTGGCTGGCCTTGTCTGGTCTGGCTGGACTGGTTCGTCTGGCTGGTCTGGTCTGTTCTGTCGGGCCTGGTCAGCTGGTCAGGCTGGTCTGGTCTGGTTGGTTGGTCTGGCTGGTCTGTTTGGTCGGGCTGGTCTGGTTGGTCTGCTTGGTCTGTCTGGTCTTGTTCGTCTGGTTCGTCTGGTTGGTCTGGTTTGTTCGCCGGGTTGGTCTGCCGCACTTGCTCTACTGGCTGTGGTTAGTTTGGCTCGTCCTATTGATCTGGCTCGTCCGGCCCAGAGATTGCATCTGGATCCGGTCTCGGCTTGCAAGTCTCAGTTGCGCTGGCGTGATGAGTCGCACTTGCCGGCTGACTTTGCGTGAAGGGGAGGGAAAGGGGAACAGGAGGAAGAGGAGGACCGTCTCTGACGATGCCAAAGCCTGGCGACCCTTCCGGAAGGGCCGAATCGTTGACAACAGAACGACGTCGTCGCCGTCGTCTTCGTCCTCGCCCTCGACTTCCTCGTCGTCGTCGTCGAACTCGTCGTCGTCGTCGTCGTCGTCGTCGTCGTCGTCGTCGTCGTCCTGCCCCTGGCGTCGCCACAGCCGGGGCTGAACCGAAAGCGCTGCTGCGTCAAGTTCCGCTGTGGCGGCACGGGGATGGGGGAGAGAGACCATCAGCAGCCATATCAGTTTTTATGCCCCACAGCAAAGTAAGGCGATGGGGCATAAGAACTTTGCGCCTCGAGCGGCTTAGAACAGGGGGAAGATGATCTTAGATTTCGGTGTCGGTGGTGATAGTTCGGTTATCTTGGCAACCCGGATATTACCACCATCACCGAGATCGGGATCTTTTTCCCTCGGTGGAAGTACACCACCGATGTTGGTGTTGGTGTCCACCTCTAGGCCTGCGACAGCAAGTATTCGTAGGTTCGCAGGGGAAAAACAAGTTGCATAGACCCACACATTCGGAGCTCCGCACCAGGGGCTCTCGACGCCGATCTATGGCGCGCAGGAGCGCGCCAGGAGCGGCGCTGGAGGCGCCACCAGGGGCTCTCGACGCCGATCTA